TCTTTGAATTAGAAAGCTTGGCTAAAAATTGTATAACTGTATAAAGTATTTTTTGCAAAGACAAGGTTCAACATTTTTACCCGGGAAGATGACTGGAGCCGGTCTTGTCTGGGCTACATTTACTGTTTGTCCAACAGCATTACTTTTATACTACTGTTACTAGAAGGTCCATCCTTGCAGATTCGTATACATACAAGCGCTGTTACCACAAGTAGGATGAGGTCCATAGCTAGAAAAATTATGCTTCACATGAAACAAGTTTAGCTTTCCTCCCCAGGTAGGGAGGATGAATAAGAATGAAGGAGGTCGTGTGATCAACTCAGGCCAGACCTCGAGAGATGAGGAACAGGTTCCTGGGGTAGTTCCTAGGGAAAGGAGCCTAACTTCAGCTAAGTGGGGCTAGAAGGGCCAGGCAGGCCAGATGCCTGAGAAGCTGTAACTGGGATGAGGCAGTAGCTGCAGATGTGTGCTGCAAGGAGCAAGAATGTCTCCTGTAGGGAAAAAAGGAACGACCCCATCTCAGGGAAGGCAAGCTCCAGGTACAAGGAGAGAGGGTAAACTGAACCCAACTCTGGGAATGAGGGCTGGGGACCCTTGACTCAAGGAGTGTTTGAAAAAAGCAGACACTCAGGGATGAGGGGCTGTTCTCAGCTTGGAACTGAGGTGAAGACTCTGGTCAGGTTATATTAAAATGGACCCCAGACAGGGAATGCTTTGATTATCTTACTTGTGTGGACATGTTAAAGGGCCTGGAGCAGAAAGAGAAACTGAGGCTGGGCTCTGCAGACCCACCCCAAGCCACAAAGGGGTGCTCAAAAGGCAGGTAATCCTGTTACAGTCCAGATTTCTAAGAAAAGGTCCTGATTAGCTGTAGCTGTGTAGGAAGATAACTTCTCTATCGTTAAGTGCTGTTGTGCCACAGGACAGGTAGTAATGTCTTCCCTGCTGGACAGCTGGATCCTGGGAAGTGTCCACACGTGTTTATTTCCCTTCTTCCTTCGCTGTCTCTTCTATAATGTGTTGGCCAACACACTCTCCTTGCCTGTCATCCTACTGTTTCCCTTCACAGGACATGGGTAGGAGTACAAACCTGTGGGGATGTAGACCTGGTGTCAATGGTTCTCTGTGCATAGATGGGTCATGTTGGGTACAGATTTACTGGGATGGAGGGAAGTGACTTGCTGCTGCCTCTACTCTAGAGCTGACAGGAGCTGCCTGCTTCCCAGAAGTTATGTCTTAAGTGCTTGATGTCCAGAGCCCTCAACAAGAGCAGCAAGAGGCCATTTGCAGGGAGCGGGTCCCAGTGTGCAGGCCCTTGCAGAGGGAGGTAGTAGAGACCTGGCACCTCTCGTGGACAGGCACATGTGCCTGCTTCCCAGCATCCCACCTGTGACCATGGCACAGTAGGGTGCTCAGTCAGGCTGGAGGTGCACACTGGTCATACTTGCCTTTCATGACTCAGGGGAAAGGCTGCTGGGGAACTAGCACTCCCTGCTGGGAGAGGCAGATTCTGGCCCAGGAGCCATGCCTGACCCTGTGTAAGTCTGTCCACTTGGCATGCATGTCTGGTTCTCCCAGCTATTAAGATGGTGTGAGTTGGGCATGAAGCAGGTGGCAGCTTCTGTCCTATGTAGCCAGGCTGGGACCCTTATGTGACTTCTCACTGCACTTGTGCCCTACATGGGCATCTCCAAGAGGCACGGAAAGATGTCTGAAAGTGACTCCCATTGAGGTACTACCTTTGAGGGTCTAGGGCTACTTACCCTCCCCCACACCAGGGTGGGAAAGCATGTAAGGCCTGTACCAGCTCACTGGTGGGAAACTGACAGGGTGGAGAGGCAGATGCGGGTGGCTTTGCTCAGCAAAGCTGCCCCCTTCCTTCTGAAGTGTGGCTTCCACATGGGGATCCATGCTGAGAGGGCAGCAGCAGTGCTCTCCTTGGGTTAGCTGCCCACCCATGACCCCAGGCTTCCTCTTTAAGGTCTTCCTCCACTAGTATTACTATGACTGGTAGGGCGATTTCCTTGGCTCCTGCTAGTAGGCCACAGCCTAGGAGGATGAGAACGGGAGATAGGATTTCTTTGTGTAAGGGTCCAGATGCTGCTGCAGAGGTGTAATGCCCTGAGGGCTGATATGGAAATTTGGCTCTGGTAGCAGGAGTGGGTGGGAATCCTGTTGTTTTGGGTATCTACTCTGTGATATTTGACAGTCTGGGCTCACTGTGTCCTTTCTCCTTCATGACCCAGGCTGTGTGGCTTCAACTCCTATCCCCACTGTGTGCTCTTGTTCTCAATGTCTGGTAAATGTGAGACCCGTGGCACTGAGCCTTTGGGGTTGGCATGTGAGAACTGGTGTGTTGGACCCAGACTGGCCATTTTTTTTATTTCCTAACAATTCCTTGTCTGTTTTAGGAGTAGGGATCTCTCAAGCCCTGCCAGGAATGCTGGAGGTTATAGCTAAACCTTCACCATGAACCCTCACCCACTCAGCCATGAGCAATAACCTCTAATCCCTGAACATTGAGCATTTACCACTAACTCCTAAATGATGAGTGCTTATCGCTGACTCTTAACCCCCAACACTGTTCAGTGAGAAAAAGCACTGAATCCTTAACTGGTGAGCACTCAGCCCTGACCCATAACCCCTACTGGCTGAGCAGTGAACATCAACCCTTAGCCCCTAATGCTGAGCACTGAGGGGCAATCCAGCACTGATAACAGCAGAGTGCTCAACCTTACCCTGCAACCCCTAACCACTGAATGTTAACTAGTAACCCCATGCTCAGCCCCTTTTCAGTGAGCAATAACCCAAACCAATAATGGTTGAACACTCAGCACTGACCCTTAACTGCCTACACAATTAGGGAGCAGGGAGAGAGAACCCTAGACCCCTCACTGCTGACCCAAAAACATTTAGTGAGAGAAAACCGCTAAGGCCGGACTGGTGAGCTATAACCACTAGCCCAGGAGCAGTGAGCGATAATTGCTGAGTGCTCAGACCTAACCCTTAACAGCTAAAAAGTGAGCAATACCATCTAACTCCAGATTGGTGAGCAATAAATTAAACCCTGAGCTGTTTAATGTCAATAAAAAAAAAACTGCAATAGCTGCTCAAAAGAACATGAGTAGCACTGCACTGATCTCATACCAACAGAACACTAGATAGTTAGATTTATTCTAACATTAAAAGGTTGTATATACCTAAAGTAAAATATAAATGGGTTTTAGTAGTTTTACATCACATTTTTATTTAAGTAATTGCTACAAAAAACCGATTCATTAGAGACACTTCAGTAAAGGCTTCCAATTCCCCTTAGTGCTGTAGCCTACAGGTATAGGTATTTGCTAGATGAGGCTTAGGTGTAAATTAAGGCAATAATGCAATGAGCCTACAAGGCCTGTAAGACAATAGTTTAGCTAAATTAAGGCACAAGGTCCAAAAAGGCTTAAGCATAAGTAGTTAACCAAAAGTAACCCTAGATAATATGATTTTAAACAATAAAAATGCTGTAATAACTAAACTGTTGACAAGTAACCACGAGATACTAGTTCATAGCATCTTGAGATATTTTAAGTTAGGGACATCAGCAGCTGTCTGACAACAAGACTGTCATGGTAACTGACTGAATTATATGCTAATAAAATTAAGGTAAAAGGATTAATCTATTGGAGAAGGGCATCCCAACATTACGGTGAGGAACTGATGATGTTCGTCCATCGTTATCGATGAAGACCTCAACAACTCATTCTTTCGATGACCGGGCTCTGTGCGTCCGAAGATGACTGATCAGTCCAATTTGGGCGTGGAACGTCCTATCACACGTCGGGCAGACATGTAATGGCACTGTCGATTGTGGAAGCACTGTCGATTGTTATTCTCCGACACGATGATGTATGAGCAGCTCTGGACTTGCGCAGCTCATGCTTTTTTTCAGCCTCAGCAATACGCCTCGCCTCAGAGGTATTACTGCCTGTGTGAATGAGGCTGCGCCATGCTGGACGGTTCAGTGTGAAGGTTTCCCATGTGGTGGTGTTGATCTCAAAGGACTTCAGAGAGGTCTTCAGCGTGTCCTTGAACCGCTTCTTTTGTCCTCCATGGGAGCGCTTTCCCTGAGTGAGTTCTCCGTAGAAGAGCTGTTTAGGAATGCGTTCGTCTGACATTCTCACGACATGTCCAGCCCACCTGGTCTGGGCTCTCATCAGCAATGTGTGAACTGACGGCAGACTGGCTCTAGTAAGGACATCAGTATCGGGCACTACAAATAATGAAAAGGGCCTGAAACCCCGTCTGAGTATTGCATTGCGCATGGTGGCATAAGTGTAACACATTATAAAAGTTGTATCCCACCCTGTGTGCCTTCAGAGATGCCAAGATGACGACTGATGGTGATGGGGAAGATAACTAACACTGCAGGTTGTTTTGCACGGGATGGTGTAAGTATCTGGATTCTCAGCACATTCTGTACTCTCTCTACCTGCCTCGCAGGGTTTAGAGTGTTTGTGACTTTGCTAACTGTATTAATAAAATTATTATAAATACAGTGTGATTTCCTAAGTGTGAGTGTTGCAACCATGCACCTTCAGGCTCCCAACCGAACAGGAGTTCTGATAATACTTTGCCTGATCTTGGTACAAGAACCTATCAAATTTCAATGCTATTTGGGGAAACTAAATAATATTACTAATCGATATACAATCAATAGATCTGACACAGTGCATGTGTTTCCTATTCTAACTAGGTAAATGTTTAGGAAAGCAAACCCACAGTGGCAGCAAGTTAAATCCTATACAAATCACTCCTAGAAGAGTGTGGACCAAACCATGAGACCCTTGCTCAGTTTTTACTCATTAAGTAAACGGATGCTTTGCTTGAGTAAGGACCTCAGGATTTGGCCTCATTTCAGTATTTTATTGTGGCCAACTTAACATTGTTGGAGGACTGTCTCCGCCATCTTGTGACTACTGAATTCTTTAGCAAAGAAAGCAGTAGATGGGGGGGGGGGGGGGGGGGGGGGGGAAGGAATGCTGTAAAGTTGTCCAAATAAATTTGCTTACCAGTTGCACAATAAGGCCCCAAATTAGGACCAACATGGTTCAGTTGTTTCAGTGCAATATACTTTCAAATAAGATCCATGTTCACTTTCAGAATTCTACTGCATTCCAGCACCAGGTATCTTCCTATATTTGTATATGAAAGCATCTGTTTTTCCAAGGCTAACTCCATAGGATTCTACTGCTGCCAAAGACCCAAAGCATGTAATGTTATTGTTGAAGTGTTCAGTTTCTACAACTTTAATTGAAGAGGAAATACTTCTTGGACTCCCATTTTTCTCTTTGGGATTCAAGTCTTTCACCACAGCAGCTCCATTCTTGTTGTCAATGGTGGCTTTCAAAGATGTATCATTTTCAACACAATTGCTAATACAGCCACCCATGTGCTTGTGGAGATCTTGACTCACAAGTAATACAACTGTCCCTCCAACATGAAGCACTCTGACAGTTTAAAAAAACAAAAAACAAAAAACATGGTTAGTTGTGCATGCTTACTAGGCTGTGCATTCTATCTATGGACTCCTCATGCCCCTATTACTGTAGTATCTAGGCACCCTCAATCAAAATCAGAGCTATGACCATTCTTTGCAAAGAACAAGTCAGTATCTGTCACCCTTCAAGGATCACAGAGACACTGGGATTTTAGATGCTTTGGCCCTAATTCAGTGAAACACTTAAGTACATGCTTAGGTTTCTTGTTTCATCATAATCAGTAAAACCTTTTGCAAACTGTTGTAGCTCCACTCTACATTTTTCCCTAAATGGAGAAGCTGGACCCTTCTTGCCTCAGCAATATTTCTGACTTGGGGAAATGAAAAGCATTTGTTATAGATAAAGGTGGGTCCAGCTGTACTGCTGACATTTCTTCTCAAACTGAACGGATGATCTCCCTCAGACACCTTTTCCAGACCTAACTGATGGAAGTTGGAGGCTTTGGACTGATTTTCCAGAGCCTCTAAACTACAATGTAAAAGAAGTATTTCCTATGACAGAATAAGGGAGTTTTTAAACTGACCTTTTCCTTAGGCTCATCTACACTTACAGTGGTGTTTAGAGTACAGACACTGCATGCCCAGATAGTATGGGCATAAACAAAACTGTAAAGGGTGAAGCACTGTTTAGGTGAGTAGTTACCTGCATAACTGAACCCTAGGATATACACCCTACATGGGCTCTCTACATGCCCAAGCAGCGTCTCCCACGTCCATTCTGCTATTTTTAGCAATGTAGCGTCCTGCAGGCTTCCGGCTGCTGGAGCCTTTCCTTGCTGCAAGGAAAGGTTCTGGCAGTGGGGTGCTGCTGGAGCCTTTGCTGCTCTGTGTAGCTCCACACCATAGTGAGTGTGGATGCAGACTGCTTTTCACTGTATAATGTAGCTACACGTACGATTCATGCCACCGGAATTGTAGTCAAGTGTAGTCACGGTCTTAGTGAGATCTAAATTATTGTCCTCAGTTTGTTCTATTGATTCCTAAAGCTTTTTAATCTGAGGAAAGGTGACATCAAATTGCACATAGTTTAAAATCAAGTTATATAAATTACCTGTTAGGAGCTAACATTACAAGAGCCACTGGAATGCTTGAGCCCCAGAGCGGAACTGCTCCCATCTGAAGACTGCTCACAGCCAGCAGGTCAAATAAAAGGCTCTCATTAAGTCTGTTGGTGGAACTTCTCCAGCAATTTTTTTCCTTGTTCCCATATTCAAGGAAATATCTTTGCCCGAGAAGATCCACCAAGAGAGAAAACAAGACCAGAATGGAACAGAGCTCTAAGCAAGGCCAACAAGAGAATAAAGTAGATAGTTTGCAAAAAGAAAAAGAGAAAAACACACACACACACACACACACCAACAACAGATGATTACATCGATACCTGTCTGGTCTGACAAAAAGGAAAATCAAATACAATGGCTCAACCTTTTCTGTACCAGGACCCCTCCCACAGAGCCAAAACATAAGGGAGGTCACAACCCCCTGAAACTTGTTCTGATTGCAAAACTTGAAGAACCCATGATCTAATACAACAAACCTCCATTAAAAGTGTATTACTACTATATCCCATAGTCTAGTTACTCTTCCAACTGCAGTGAGACTTAAAGTAAATTCCCTCTTTCCCAAAATTAGGGCCACCAATAAATAGGGCAACAGATCACAAATACAACTGACTAGTAAAGACCTCTTTACCTTTCTTCACCATAGAAACAGAAGTTTCTACACTCCACTTTTTGGTTTATGCTCTGCCCACCAGTCTCATTTTTGGAGATGTATACTTTTGGCATGGTGCTCATTTTGAAAATTTATTTTTATGGGGACCATTAGGACTGCTTGTGTTTTGTCCGTCCCCCCCCCCATTTAGAGCCATTTTCAAGGTTAGAAGAAAGCCTGTTTTCTTCTGAATTTTTTTTACATATTTTAATTAAAGTTTAGTAAACAGAGGAATAAAGTATTAAGACAAATATGATAACAGGCCTTTTTAGAGATGAAAGCAACGCCTTTATTTAAAAAAAATGCATACAAATATTAGTAACAGAACATGCATTTTTAGAGAAAATAAAGGGGAGTGGGTTAAACAAGAAAGTGAGAGAGGCAGTAGAACAGCCAAGAAAAGCAAAAGCCTTTCAGCCTGTTACAGAAAAAAAGAGGCTGCAGAGAAAGTTTTAAAACCGGAATGGAAGAAAAGTCTGTCTCTCTCACTTTGTCTCTTGTTTACCTTCCCCTTCATTTTCTCTACAAACATGTTCTGTTGCTAAAATGTAATGCCTTTATTTAAAAAATGCATTAAAAAAAAACCCTCTAAAAATGTGTTATATTTATGCCTTAACACTTTATTCCTTTGTTTTCTAAACTATTTAAAATGTGTAAAGCTTATTTTCTTCTTTAAAAAATTCTCTTTTTTTCTAACCTTTAAAATGGCGCTAAATGTGAAAAATCACACAAACAATACTAATGTTCCCTATAAAAGAAATATTAAAATGGCTACCAAGCCAACAGTGTACACCTCTAAAAATGAGACCAGTGCGTGGGACATAAACCAGAAAGGGGGCATGGAAACCTGTCAAAATTTATGATGAAAGGTAAAGTTGTCTTTACTATTCTACTGTTGCAAAAGCATCTTAAGACTCCTCTAGTATCAACAGAAATGAACCATTTAGAATCATCTGGTATGAGTGTCTAAACTTTGACAGCTGTATGCTTCTCAGACCACCACTGAAAACACAGCCAGCTTTCAAAATAACCTCTACCTGAAAACAGTAGGAAGGGTGAAGGTTCTGTCACCACATTGACTTGTAGAAAGAGTAACCCCTCAGTTCAAGAATGCCTCGAGGACGTAACATAACATACATGCGTTGACAGCTCTTACTGCTGTCAAAGCTTCCACAGATTGCAAGGCAAGACATGAAACACCTCAAGTGATGCTCTGGAGAAGTGGATTTGTGAGGAATAATTGTATGCAACATAGACATATTTAATTTTTAGCTTTTCTGGGTCCAGACCACAGAATTGGGGGTCATTTAGAGTAGAGATTTTTATGCTCATGATTACAAACAAGTATAGAGTTTAAAAAATACCCTAAAGTGTTTCAAAGATTATATATACCTTTCCATTTCTCGAAGAATATTTGGTAGAAGCTTTATGTCTTTTGTTATCTTGAACTTTTTCCCAAATGGAATGTCCGAAATCACAACATCAACACTTTCTGAAGGTAAGGGCAATGCTGCAAAACAGAAGTCAGATTCTTAAATTTGGCTAAACTTAAGAAAGAACAGTGACTGAGTAGCAACCACGGTTCAAGCATGTTGACAGCAAAGATCCTCACTCCTGTGGAGTGCATAGCCTCAGCACAGTGTTCAGAACTTCCAAAAAAACCATGGTTATTGAGGCAATGTATATGCTCCCTCATAAAAGGAGCCACAAACTCAACTCTGCCCCAGTCCCTTTCAGCTTCAACAGAATCCACATGGACCCACCCTGAAAGGTAGACATGGGGGAAAGGGCGTATACAATTTATGCTGTCAATCTCCACAAAGAATTACAATAACTAGATAAACTTTTCTCTCCTTTGCATCTGACAGCATAGATCCCCCAACCGCTGCAGATAAACTAGCAGTGACAACTCTCTATAGAAGTGGTCTAAGAAGAACTAGAGTGGAGAACTGTTTTCCCAATTTGGGCATCCAAACTGGAGGATAAGCCACAGGATAATAGTACACTGAATATATAAACTGACCATCAAGGAGCAGGTTTACAAGTCTTAGGCTCTCTCTAGACTACCACTTTTGTTGGTAAAACTTTGTCAGTCAGGGGCGTGAAAAAATACCCCCCTGACCGACATAAGTTTCACTAACAAAAGTGCTGGTGTGGACAGCACTATGTTGGCAGGAGAGGCTATCCTGCCGGCAAAGAGCGGCTACATGGGAGACCTTACAGCAGCGCAGCTGCAGTGGTATAGCTGTGTCACTATAAGGTCCATAGTGTAGACATAGCCTTAGTGAAGGAGGTGATCCTAAGACCTGTTGAGTTTGCTATGAACCTGGAAGAATGTATTGTAAGCATCTGAGGGTCTTACACACCTCCAAGCTTATGACATTGTTATAAAACAGCGGTTCTCAAACTTTTTTATTGGTGACCCCTTTCACACAGCAAGCCTTTGACTGTGACCCCCCCCCCCAAATTAAAAAAAACATTTTTATATTTAACACTATTATAAATGCTGGAGTCGAAGAGAGGTTTGGGGTGGAGGCTGACAGCTCGCGAACCCCCCAGGTAATAACCTCATGACCCCCTCAGGGGTCCCAACCCCCAGTTTGAGAACCCTGTTATAAAACATTTCATCCATCAACACCACGCAGGAGGCACTCAAGAGATGTGTGACAGGGGACACCTATGGTATCTGCTAAAAGACCTAAGAAACCTAGAAAACAAGAAACCCCAAGGACATCTTAACTATCCTCTTTCATTACTAGAAAGAAACCAATGCCATTAGTGTAGCTTCAGTCCCATATTCCACTAAAGGCAATGGTATAAAATGAGGGCATGATTTAGTTTTAAAGTGGGAGTTATGTGGTTAACCTTGCAGGCACTTTACTTACAAGAATAATTTGCTCAAATGCACATGTTAAATTGAAGGAAGTGATGCATTAGATCTTTCATACAGAATCTGGTTACAGGCAGGCCTGGCTGTAGCCAATTTAATTTTGATTTTGAGCTGCTTTCTTTGAATTGCTTCTCCAGATGCCACAATTTTCTATGCCAGCTCTAAGTGATTTTCTTTTACTGAAGCTATACGAAAAGGCTAGTCTCTTGAGAATGGCCTTAGCTGTTTCCCAGAACATTCTTGGACCAAGACGTATGGTAAATTGTTTTGTCTATGAGCGAAATAGCCAGCTATGCATTCTTTTGAAAAAACCATGAAATTAATATACTCTGACCAATGACTAAGATACAACCACGAAGCACCAATTACTTCCTCAACAAGGGTATGGTTTGAGTTCAGAATACATCTAATTTTAAGTATCCTAAGCCAAGCCAAGTCCAGTGGAGGGCTCTAAAACCAATCAGGTAAGAAACAGATATTACAAGGGAAGGAGTACTATACATTCTCCTTCATCTGAATACAAGGTAAGGTGTCAAATAGAGACGATCTTTTGCTAACTGCTGTAATGAGTTTTCATACATGGGTAATTCAGGTCCAGATTTGGAGGACTTGTCCAGATTAAGTATCATATCATAAAGCAATTATCTTCTCCTAAAATCAGCCCATAAATTGAGAACAAACTGACAGCATTTTCCAGGAAAAGGCCAGGGTCATTAAATTTATCCACTGCAAAAGATAATGATTCATTAATTGGCTTAAGTTATCATTGCAGAAAAATTTGAGTTACAAGTTGCAGCAGATCACAGGGCTTTATCTTTGTATTATAATAGTTAACTAGAACTTTTACCTAAACAATGACTTTTTTTGACTGGGCATTTCACATAAGATACAGAGTAATAGTAGTGATTTGCCAAACCCTAGAAATTAATATATACAGTATCATTTTGTTAATTTTTTTGTCAAAACATAAGGGGAAGAGAACAGAAAAACAGCAGGTCATGAACATAAAGGAAAGTGTCAACCCAATCATGTATGAAAAGAGTCAAGGACTCTAGGTTTTAGTATACTTTAACTCACAGCATTAACTATAGTTCTAGAACTCTGTTTAGAGTCCTTAACACATGCTTTGTCATTCTAAAATATTTTCAAATATTACCTATGACAGATGCTTTAAGTAACTCAATTTTATCCATCAAGCCTGCAGCCTTAATGTTTTCATGTGCACCTTGTAGCTGCGAATCATTTATATCAGCACCCAAGTAATGTACATTCTGTTGGAGGGGAAAGGAGAAATTTTTATTATGCAGAATAAAACATAATACTGAATATTTTTACACATTTAAGAGTACAAGTTGTTCTTCAAAGGCAAGACCTCTGGGTGAGATTCAGTGCTGCAGATCTTACAATAACAGAATATAACTCAAAGTCCAGAGAGAAGAGATGCAAAAGTAGCTTT